CACTGTTTATAATATTTATATATATTCAAAAACATTTGAAATAAACGTTGAGTAAAATTTTTTAAATATAATATAATTCAATTATTTATTTAATTATTTCATTTATTAGTTTATATATGTATATATATAGGAAATATAGTTTAATTTTTCATTATTTATAAAATGTAATTATTATGTAATATTTCTTTTTGCATTTAACTTTTTAGAAATATTATTGCATATATTACAGCTGTCAAGCAATTACAGTTTTTTAATTAATTACATGATGTGCCAATTAGATATTGTGTAAAGCATTAAGTAGAAATGACAAAAAATTGCTTTAGAAATAAATATTTTGATTTGGCATTGAATAAATAATAATAAATATTAATGTTTTTACTGTTTAATTGTGAAACGAATGTGAAATGATACTCTAAATATGAAATTAAAACCACCAAGTCTTAATGTGGGAGTCATTCAGTCAACTGATTCGTTCAAACAGCTGATTCATTCAGGAACGAAGCATGTGATTCACTCATTGGTTCACTCGATTCATTCAAAAACGTGGATTCATTAAATAATGAAACGCCATTAGTTAGTTACTTGGGTAGGTAGTAATTATTTTGAAATATCAGTCTCAAATGAATAATCAGAATTGTGATGTATGTGATCCTATGTTTGTTTTGACCCCGTCAGGAGCGACATGCTGCAATTGTCCGCAGGAACAAGGAGCTGAGGGAAGAACTAATAGCGTGAAGTTATCCTCCTCCTCGTACCCTTCATCAGCCGACCCGTCATCCTATCCTGCTCACACACACACTCACACACACACAACCACTGGTAAACACCAGTCAGAACAACTAGTATCACACTCGTATACTGTTTGAACGGTCTTGCTTGATTTCATAGCGTAATGGGAAGACACAAGTATTATTTTGTAAATACGTCTTTTTTATCTCTCACTCTTTCTCTCTATCTATCTATCAGATTGAATGATAACAAATCAAATGTATCAAATCTCCTCGATACATTATGTTGATTCTTTCTTTATTGTTTGTCGATTTCTCAGTTGTTTTGGTTGAGGCACGTCTGGGTTGATCATGTGAAAGGTTTTCGATGTTGTGAGTAAGCTGCCCGCTTACATTTGCAGTGTTAAATGATGTGAAGTTTGGTGTAATTGTAAAGAATGCAAAAAGCTTCAGTGCTCAGGCCCCAGATTTCCATTTTAAAATGCAAACCTACCCAGACTCATGAATATATAGTGCACTTACGTTTATATACAGCATGATCAAGACATTTTCCTGAACAAATAGCTTGAAATATGAGTACTGAAACAAATAAAAACATGTTAATAGTGTTTCATTTGTGAGCAAAATGTATTTTTAGTTTCTTTGCTTATTATCCTTACATAAAATGAAATATCATGCTCTTGAAATGTTCCGCACATCTGCATGTCGACCTCGGCAAACGTACTCTTTTGTTGGCTGATGTTTGGAAACACTGCACCCTTTCTGGACTCTTTGGATGAGAGTCTAGACAGCTTGACATAGCCTGCGTTATATTACAAAAGAAAAGGAAAAAATAACCAGCCGGATCTTACCCTGTTGCTCCCTATGATCAAGGTTTTCTTTTCGTTGACCTGCCCAGTTCCTCTACATTGATTCAGGCCTTCGGCACTCAAGGCTGATGTTTGTCATCTGTCTCTAGCAGGAGTAGACATCTTCATTAGTGCAGCGGTGTAATTAAGGGAGTCGTATATCTCTGAATGTTCTGGCATCTGTCTGGCTTGATAAAATAGGTAACATCTTTACCAGCTGAATGTATCCTCATATACTCCCAACTACAGCCTTTGATGTGTGACTATTTTCTATTTGGTTAATTTTCATGCGACTTGAGTGAGTGTGTGTGTGTGTGTGTGTGTATGTGTGTGTCCACGTTAGGTTGACACGAGCATTTGTATCCTTCCTCTCTGGAAGTGAAGTGATGCGGAATATGCACTGAATGATTATGATTTTAGTTGGATTTGTTTTTCAAATCACTGTCTCCTCTATAAATATGCTTGAAGTGTCTTCGGCTGCCAAAATTGTCTTTTCCCCCTCTCATTTCTGTGTGTGCAAAATTTGGTGAAAATAAAGGTTTGGGGTTCTGTGAACATGGTTTTACTGTGTTGTTTGCTTTTTATGAAGCTTCTGTCAATGTCATTACAGCGCTTCACCAGCAGATGACAGTAAACCTATTATAACACATGGGCTAAGCTTATTAAAGGGGTCATATGATGCCGCTAAAAACATTATTTTGTGTATTTGGTGTAATGAAATGTTTATGCGGTTTAAAGTTCAAAAAACACATTATTTTCCACATACTGTACATTATTGTATCTCCTCTATTTTTACAAAGCTCATCAGTATGAAAAAGCGAGGTGTGCTGTGATTGGCCAGCTATCCAATGCGTTGTGATTGGCCGAATACCTCAAGCGTGAGACGGAAATGTTACGCCCCTCACATACTGTAATGCCCTGTCCTGCCGGAGCGACGAGACAACATTAAAACCCATTACAAACGGAGCGACGAGACAACATTAAAACCCATTACAAACGAGGCATTTGTTGCATCCAGTGGGGACATAATTACTGATTATAATGACTTATACTGTCTTTTTACGCGTTGCGTTGCGTTGCATTGCATCGCGCCGCGTAAACATAAAACTCTGTCTGCATTTGTGATCGGAGAAATGACAAACAACAAGTGCTACTCTACTGCCCAAAACTCGCGTTTGAATCATCAGTGGCAACGAAAAACACAGCGGCCTAGCGTGAGGGGAAGCCCCGGCTTAGCGTGCGCTGAGGCCGGGATAGAGTGAGCTGAGGCGGGCTGTTCTCCGCTTTGTCCACGGTGAAAGTTGATGTATTCACTCAGCGACCAGCACAGATCAGCTCTAGGCATGACGAAGCGGATATCGTCCTCTTTTGGAAGACCAAACAAAGTAGTTTCGCTTTCACAACGAAGCACACAGCGTCTTCAGGACATGGCTGCAGCGTCAACAATACTACAGCGAGAATAAAAGTTACGCCTTCTTTCTTTGCGTGAACATTTGGGCGGCGTTATGCAAATCTTCCCAGATCGTGACGTAGGTATGTGGGGGCGTGTTAGAAAGGAGCCGTTTTAGGTAGGCGTGGTTAACTCAACTTTTATAACGAATATCTCTTTGGTTTTGAGACTTTAGTGTTTGCAACTTTACAGATCTTATTTATGCACCAAGAGCTTGTAACACTCCAAAGAGAAAGGAAAAATTTAAATCGCATCATATGACCCCTTTAACAGAATATGCTTGAGAACTTACTTTCGTCTTCTAAATGATTTGTTTCATTTAATTATTTGGGTGTTATGGTGATGTAACATTGGTTTTCTTTTCCCTTCAGACATCTTGATTTTACACAAGAATATATATGGATATGTATGTATATATATATATTATTTTTCCAAGCTTACACCAGTTGCAGCGAAGAATCATTTCTATTTAAAAAAGAGTTTCAACAAAATATGCTTGCTAATAAAAGTTAAGACTATTCATTTATATTACTTACAGATGGTGTAAAGCAAAGAAATGAATTCCAAATCACCCACTCAAATCTCCTCTTGCCAATTCACTTCTCAGCAAACAGAGAAAAGAATAAATTAATACCATAAAACAAAGTTCTCAGAAGTATAAAAATAGAGAGCCATATTGTGCTATTATATATATATTTTAAACATTATTTTTTAAATTTTAATTTATTCATTAATATAAAATTAAATATATTTCAAATATTTTATCTTTACTTTTAGCTTTGTAGTTTTCTCTTCTTGCACCATAGTGGTATTTTAAACATTTTCATAGCTTTAAATTAAACATTTGATTTGAATGAATGTTACAGTATATTTTGATGACTATTATTCTTACTTTAATGAAATATAATACAAAGATAGATCGATGTATATCTGTTTTGTATTGTCATTCTATTATAATTTCTATCTCAAATCATTCTGGCAAATAATCTTTTTCTTTTTGTATTTTATATATTTATTTTTATTTAATTATTTTTATTTTTTAAATTATGCACCATTTTAGTGGGATAAATAAATAAAAATAAGTAAATAAATAAATAACCTTTTGATAGGAATGTTCTCTTTTTTTTCTGTCAAGACTGTCCGCACTGATTCCAACTGCACCAGCTGTCTCAGCAGCTTCCAGCCCGTGGGAAAATATGTGGTAGGCAATAATTGATTCAGCTCTGCTAGTGCAGCAGAACAAGCAATAAAATAATCAGCCTCTGCAAGGACCCTCTTATTGCTCTACATTTTCTTCTTTCTTCTTGTATTTCCCCTCTCTACAGATTCTTTAAACTAATTATTGTTCCATTGAGTGCAAATATTTGCACTCAAAGACCTTTGTGCAATATTGTAGGCCTACTCCATTATGGTTTCATTCTGTATTTCCTGTCGCAGCTTACCACATACAGTATATATATATATATATATATACAGACACACACACACACACATACACACACACACACTACTCACAAAAAGTTAGGGATATTTGACTTTCGGGTGAAATTTATGGAAAATGTAAAAAGTTCATGCTACAGTGATATATCATGAAAGTAGGGCATTTAAGTAGAAGCATGCAATGGTAATTTCTTCATCTCAAACAATTTATTGAAACAAAAGCTAACAACTGGTGGGTATGCCACAACAAAAATAGTCAATGTCTCAATAACTTGTCGTGTGTCCTTGAGCTTGACAACAACTTCTCATGCTGTTCACAACTCGACTTATTGTCTGCTGAGGCATGACATTCCACTCTTCTTGAAGGGCTGGCCTCAGGTCATTGAGGTTCTGGGGTGCAGGGTTATGACCCTCTACACGACGACTCAGCTGATCCCATAGATTTTCTATGGGATTCAGTTCTGGAGAAAGTGCAGGCCATTCCATTTGAGGTACCCCAGCCTCCAGCAGCCATTCCCTGATGATGCGACCTCGATGAGCTGGGGCATTGTCATCCATGAAGATGAAATCAGGCCTGTTTTGCTCATGCAGAGGGACAATGACTGGATTAATGATGTTATTCAGGTAGTATTGGCTTGTCACAGTACCATTCTGGGCAGGTGTGTCTAGTCAATCAATACAGAACTGCCCTACACCTTGTGAATGGTACTGTGACAAGCCAATACCCCCCCAAGTCTGACAAAACAATTTGCTTTAAACATTTACAGCAAAATCAGAGTACAGACAGTTTTTGCTTAAAATTAAAAAGAATATAATCTATAATTAGGAATTACAAAATTATAATAGCCTATATTTGAAACATTTTCGTAGCTGATGCTAACCGGCTAGCTAACTCTGATGCTAACTTGAGGTAATTTTTAAATATAAAATCCAAATATTTTTATTCAACCAACTAGTTTTTTTTACATTTGCATTCCATTTGCATTACAGCTGGGAGAGGTTGTACTTTAGATGTTGGGAAGATAAATAATAATTATTCCAGTTATTCCTACAAAAGCACAGAAAAGATATAGTGAATTAAACTCATGGTAACATTATACAATAAAATTGCTGAATTAATTTGATTATAAAATTTGAAAGTAGCCATTTCTCAGACTGATTATAGGATTGTGAGTTATGACTAAAGATTGCTGTTGATTTGCATTGTTGTTGCTTGTGATGGCAGGGACAGACTAAATACCAAATGTGAACATTATTTTTGTTTGACACGTCAGTGAAATCATCTCCAGCTTTGATCCTAAATGAATAAAAACACAAACTAATGGCCCTCATGTCTGAGTATTATGCTCTTTAATGTCAGGACTATAAAACACTGCTGTATATTCCGTATATTGTAGATTTGCTTTACTATTAATCATCAGCAGATGGCGCCGTTTCTGTTTTGCACTAAACTTGGACAGCGGGAATGAAAAATCGTAATACATACATTACTGTGGGTTTGTTGTGCTTAGATAAATGCTACCAGTTTATGGACTGATTAAGTGAAGATTCAAACAGTAAATTCATTGTTAATACCCATTCAGAACAAAGATTAAATTTTGCATCTGATGTCTGTCATCTCAAACACTAGACTGATGGACGTTGTTACTTCAACAAAACTCAACTCTTGTTTAAAGATGTCAAGTTAAACGTATTGTTATTATTATTGGCACAATCAACATTTTACTATATGGTTTGGCTTTTTACCTAATCTAATATTCAAAAATCGATTTTTCAAGCCCAGCCTTTCAAAATCTTTTAACCAATCAAATTCTCAAATATCACAGCAATTTTACCGATTGGTCAGTGAGCGGAGATTCTTATCCTTGCACTCGTTAAATCTCCCTCTGTTCTGGCCTGAGCCTTTGCAACACTTTATATACACATTAAACAAAAAAATCGTCTGTTGTAATCCTCCAGTTATTTCTTTGTTTTTATTAAATACTGAACATAGAAATAACAACGGTTGAGCGGTTTGTTGGTAAATGGAAAATGACTTCAAGTGACAATTTTGATGAATACATGAAGGCTGCAGGTAAGATACATTAATTCATACATAACTATGTTTTATTATTATGTATACTACTAATGTCACGAGGCAGCTTTTTTGTCCAGCTGTATTAGTTCACCTGTTGTAATACCAGTAATGCCATTACCTGTATTACAAGCAAATCTGTATTTGTTCACAGGTGCTGGTTTTGCTTCTAGGCAAATGGCTAACCTAGCAAAACCCAGTCTGTCGATTGCTGTGGATGAGCAGGGCTTCATCTCTATGAACGCTGTCACTACCTTTAAGACCCTGGAAATCAAATTCAAATTAGATGAAGAATTTGATGAGACAACAGCAGATGACAGGAAAGTCAGGGTAAGGATTAAAAATAATAATATAATATAGACTTTTCTATTTTAAAAAGTGTATGTGCGTGTGTGGAAAGTAGTTTATTATTTTGGAGCATAATTGGGTCCCTTTATTTTCATTCTTTTCAGACTATTATGAGCCTTGAAGATGGCAAACTTATTCAAAAGCAGACCTGGGAGGGGAAGACCACAATAATTGAAAGAGAGATTCAAGACTCCAAAATGATAGCGGTATGTGTAAAAGCCATCTGCACAATATCAAAACACGCATTAAACATGAAAACATGAAAATGTCAAAGCATGCTGCTAATCTTTCTCTTTCTCTCTCTTTCTCTCTCTTCAGAAATGTATCATGGATGATGTGGTCGCTATCAGGACATATGAGAAAGATGCGTGATGAAAGATGCACAAACTCTGGGCTTTAAGACCAATTAAAGACCTCATTAGATTTTAATTTGGTTGAATTTGACTGATTTAATGTGGAATATGAATTGCTTTGTTGCAATATATATTTTTTTTTGCTTTGTAAACATAATAAAAAATACAAAAGATAAAATGTGTCTTTACTCATTTGACTGATGATTTATTGGATATAAACATTTTTTGTTCCTATGTGACCCTGGACCACAAAACCAGTCATAAGGGTCAAATTTTTGAAATTAAGATTTATACATCATCTGAAAGCTGAATAAATAAACTTTCCGTTGATGTATGGTTTGTTAGGATAGGACAATATTTAGCTGAGATACAACTATTCTATGAAAATCTGGAATCTGAGGGTGCAAAAAAAAAAAAAATCTAAATATTGAGAAAATCGCCTTTAAAGTTGTCCAAATGAAGTTCTTAGCAATGCATATTACTAATCAAAAATTAAGTTTTGATATATTTATGGTAGGAAATTTACAAAATATCTTCATGGAACATGATCTTTACTTAATATCCTAATGGTTTTTGGCATAAAAGAAAACTCAATAATTTTGACCCATACAATGTATTGTTGGCTATTGCTACAAATATACCTGTGCAACTTAAGACTGGTTTTGTGGTCATTTCATTATAAGAATGAAATATGTGACCAAAGAGCCGAGGAATTGGAAAATAAATGATATGAAATTACTAGTTGAGTATTATTACATAACACAGCATAACATAAATATAATTAGATAATACTATAGCAAACGCTTTCATTTGTATTTGGACCCAATAAAATGCCAATCACTAAGCTTACAAGAAAGAACTAGAGCGAGTTCCAATGCAAGTTTAGAGGTCAATGCAGATTTCTCATTCTCTCCTTAGTTTGTTCAAAGACAGCCAATGCAACATTGCAGCTCTAGAATAAATATCATATACAATTTCCATTAAGCTGCAACTGCCATGCAGGTATGCGCTTCCTATGGGCCTGCAGAACACCCCACACTGTTTCCCATGCAAAATTATTTCCATTAGTCAGTGATATAAAATTGAAACAGCCTAAATGTCACCTCAAATGGCTGCCATGGCAAGATGCTTGACATCCGATCGCAACCATAAAAAGATATGATCCGAGCAGCATTCATCAGCAGCTCCTGGTGCCCGGTGAACATGTGATGTGTTAATCCTCAGCAGTCCAGTTCACAATGCTTTCCTGAGTCTAATAACCTCAATACCCCCAGGATTAGCACTATAGCAGCTGGAGTGGCTGACCATGCGCTCCTTGCAAACTTCTGCTTCTAAAATATACATTATTCTTTTGTGATCCTAATCTTACTGAGTCTTATAATGCAATTTATATTAAAGCATGTGGTGTGAAATAGGATTTTGAAATATTATTATTAGTATTAAATTGCATAAAACCCTACAAAATAGCAGTATTTCTGTATAATAATAATCTATTATATCAAATGATGAAGCTTTATAGGGTCATGATATTGTTTTTTATTGTTTTTATATTATTTAATAATAAAAATTATAATAAATACATAATATCCAAAAATGCTGTATTTCTGTACAGCTTCAGTGTTATATCAAATAATGCTGATATTGTTTATATATATATATATATATATATATATATATATACAGTATATATATAATTTAATAATAATAATTATAATAATTATAATTATTATTGTTATAATTCCTTTGTATAAATTCTAAAAATGCTGTATTTCTGTACATCTTCAGTCAGTGTTATATCAAATGGTGCAAGCTTTATATAGTCATGATATTGTTTTTTATTGTTTATATATATTATTTGTTTATATTTATTATACACACACACACACACACACATATATATATATATAATTATTATTATTGTTATAACTCCTTTGTATAAATTCCAAAACTGCTGTATTTCTGTACGGCTTTAGTCAGTGTTATATCAAATGATGCAAGCTTTATAGGGTCATGAGACAGATTTAAGTCTGAGAAAGAGAAGCCTTGAATTTTCTCTGTGGCATTTTCTCTCAATGGTCCATTGTTTCCTAGACGTTACTTGTAAGGGACACCATATAAAGAATGTCCTTACATTTTTCCATGAGCTTAAAATGCCAGGGAAGTTGATAATAGTGGAAGAGATGTAAACAGTTTCCCAGTAAAACAATAATTCAAACTTCTTAAAAGTGAAATAGGGCTCATAGATAAGTGCTCAATTGATATAATACCAAGCAGAAGCAAATGTTTGCTATTTTACTGCACTGAACGTGTGAATCTGTCTGTGACACTAGGTGATGTGTATCTGATGTGTACACAGTGAACTTCAGAATTTGACAGTGAAAAGAAAGTTCAAAAGTTCTCCATTCATCCCAATTAAATAGGACACTGGTAAATTGCTGTTTTGCTCCTTCAGTGTGAGGTATGGAGTCTCTTAAGGTAATAATAAAGAAAATAATAAAAAAAACATAAAAAAAGAAAAAATACATAGGTATTTATAATGTTAGCCGTAAGTTCTCAAAATCAAACAATATTTACTGCATTTGATGAATTTTCAACGTGAAACATATTTACAACGTGATGTATGAGGAATTTTTTTGTACAACACTGCCATCTGGTGTTTAATTTCAGCATTATCATATTTTCAATCTAATCTCTTTTGCATTAGGTTTAAAATGTAATTTAGTTACGCAAATTATGTAGAGTTATGTACACAGTTAAACACAGTTTTTTTTGTCTTTTATTTCGAAACAGAACGATTATTCTATGCAGTGTTTAACCTTAATGTTTTATCTCTATTGAATTGCCTCATAATTTTGGTCTTATAAGGGCAAGAGCATTCTGGTGATGCTATACTTTACATCTGGGGTGAAGATGAGATAAAACATATCTAAATAACATTTAAGACTTGATGCAACACTGATATTTATTAAAATAGTTCCTAAAGGATTAAAGTTGAAATTACTTTTAAACTATTAACTTTTATGTAGCCTAACTTTTAATAATTTTTATGGCACCTACAGACATGAAAGGAGGCCCTTTAAAGCAAACCCCTATTACCATTACCCATTCATTGCTAAGGGAACAATAAAATTAACTTTTGCAGATTATATATTAGGGCTGGGCAAAAAAAAAAAAGTATTTTTCGATATATCGTTTTTTAAAATGTGGTCGATTCAATATCGATTCTCGAAGGCCACGAATCGATTTTTTTTTCAATATTTATTTCCACAAACATTGAACATTTAACATACGTTAATCTTATTACTAGTCTAATCCACTAGATGTCACCCCCTTATTTGCCTTGCGCGATGCGCGATGTGAGAGTCCGTCATTCATTCATTGCTTAAAATGGCGGATTTAGGTGCGTTCCCGACGTCAACACCACCTTCCAGAGCTCTACAGTGCGACCGAAAACTACTGCGTGCGACTATAAACATTTTTTTAGGAGCACCAGTACGACTGACCCGATCATCATCATATTTGTGATTGCGCTCAGGGGAGCTTCAAATGTTTCTACGTGTTTTTGCAGCGTTGAGTAATGTATCACAGACGTATCTCACGAATCCTTTCATAAGCAAAGTGAGAGCTTCATTGCGCAGTGTAGAGAGCTTCGTTGATTATAGATGTGAGATCGAGATGAACTAAGATGAGTGCCAGCTTTTAATGATTTTGTAAATGTGATACTGATTTAATACAATACAATTCAATAAACAAGAAGTTAATATTAAGTGACTTACATTGTCTGACTATAACACTATTGTCTGATTTTGCTCTATTTCGTCGTTGAAAATAGTTTAAAACAAAGCCACAGCTGAGCCGCTGCGCATCTCCATTCAAACACAGCGGTGTACTGCGTTTTTAAACGAATCTTGAGTCAGTGAGTCATAATTACCCATTCATAAATACTGTCCATTGCTTCATTCCTGAATGAATCAGCCGTTCGAATGAATCAATTGAATGAATGATTCAGTGATAAAAATCAGTGACTTACCGCCACCTGCTGGCAGTTTGTTTCATTTTAAAAGTATCTTTTCAGTTATTTAAATCATTTAATATTTCTATATTCAAAATTTTATATTTAAAACATTAATATCATCATGAATTTATGGATTTAATTGCAC